GTGAGGCGGCCGTCCGGCGTGGCGCCCTCGGCCGCCGCGGCGTCCTCGGGCGGGAGGTGTGTGTCCACGGCGGCCAGTAGCGCGCTCCGCGCCGCAGGGTCGGTGGCCGGCTGCGCGAAGAGGCCGCCAGACTTGTCCCCGTCGAAGAAGTCACCGGCAAGCTCGGCGCCACGGCGAGCGCCGGCAGCCGTGGCCGCCGACCCTATCTCGCCGGTGGCGGCATCGCGCACAGCGGCCATAGGGGCGGCGAGCTGGCGGTCATCACCAAGGCGGTGGAACCAGCGTGACGCACCCTCGCCATACACCTGCCACGCTGCATCGGCTCTCTCCGCATCCGCGGCAGCCATAGCAGCGTCAAAGGCGCGAAGCTGCGCTGCCGCCGCACGGACTGCCTGTGCCGCGATTGCGCCGCCGTCGCCGCTGCCGCCGCCTCACCGTCCGTCCTTGACTCTGCCTGCTGTCGGGGCGGAGGTGGTGTCACCGCTGCCGTGCTCGCGTCCCTGCAATCACCGTGGTCGCTGCTCGCTCTCAGTTGGCACCATGCTGTGTTTTGCGCCTTGTGTGCGGTCCCAGGGCGGGGCCGGGCTTGGGCAGCCGCATCTGCGCGGGTGTCGTCAATCTTTCGTGTAACTTCACATGTATGTAAAAAAAGCCCTGCGCTGGCGGGGCCGGAGGCCGCAGCCAGCGCAGAGGCGGCGCCCCCAGCGGAGGCGTTGCAACGCCTCCGCCTCCAACTGGAGGCGCCCGCTGCGCGGATGAGCGGAGCGGGCGGTGCGGAGCCTGCCCCGGTGCGCCCCTCGTTCAGCACCATTGCGGCCGGCCTGGCCGACAGGGAATCCACCGGCCACGGGCGGGCCCGCAGCTCGGGTCAGCGTGACACCGCCAGCGGCCAAGCGGCCCCACGTCACAGGCCTCGCCTGCCCGCCGCCGCGGGTCCCATCATCACCTTGACCGACGCCACGGCGTGCGCCTCACGGCGCGTCCCCGCGCCGGTCGCCCCGCGCCCGCTTCCCCGCGCCCGCTTCCCCGCGCCCTCGGATGAGGAGCAATACACGGCTGCGGGGGCCGCGGAGCGCTGGCGGACCCTGGGCCGCACTCATTAGGGCTGCATGCCCCGCGTCGTAGGTTCATCACGTGTCAGTCGCGCGGCTAAGCTTGTCTCGTTTGCGCATGCCTCGTAGCCTTTGGGACATGCCGTTCCCGACGGGATTGATCTTGTCGTGCATGCGTCGCCCTCCTTGACTCTGCCTGCTGTCGGGGCGGAGGGAGTGTCACTGCTCCCGTGCTCGCGTCCCTGCAATCACCGTTGTCGCTGCTCGCTCTCAGTTGGCACCGTGCTGTGTTTTGCGCCCTGTGTGCGGTCCCCCGGCGGGGCCGGGCTTGGGCAGCCGCATCTGCGCGGGTGTCGTCAATCTTTCGTGTAACTTCACATGTACAAAAAAGGCCCGCGTGGGCCCGTTGCGGCCGCCATGCACCCGGGTCCCCCAACAGCCAGACGGCGGCTGTGAGTGGAGGGCTCCCACCCCCCTCAATCCGCACCCGCTGTGCGGCCAGCCGTTGAAGGGCGAGTCGCACGGCCGGGCAGTCAAGGAGGGCGTGCTACACCGTCTCCAGGCAGGATGGTAGTTTCCTTCCTTCCAGGACTGCCTTGCGGTTCTGGAGGCGGCGTGGCGCCTGCGCTGCCGGCGGCAGGTGACGGGACAGCCATTTGCAGCGGCTGACGGCGTCAATGACGTCATCGACGCCGTGGAGCGTGCGGTGCGCGCGGACTGGCACAGCGCGCAATCTGACGCCCCTGAGCTGCACGAGCCCCTCGTGGTTCCCAGGCCGGGGCCAGCCTTTGAGCTTGTCTAGGGTTGAGCTGCGGTGGTGTGGCGGCGGGGTGTTTGCTTGGGTGACGCACGCAGCGGCGG